CATGCCTGCTACATATTCCAAAGCCCCAAAGCCTCCCGGTCTCTTCACTCCAAGCTTATCAAGTTGATCAGGGAATTCCTTGGACCAACACTCCACCAACCATAGCCCTGCAAGATAAACAGGGCAGGTATTCATTCAAAATAAAATTTTATTTCTATCTTGTGTTTACATCACCTATATTTTCCAGTCTATCCCTCTCTCCCCCTTTCCCTAGAGAGCCATTCTGTGGGAAATCGGTTCAACAAAACTAATCAAGACATCAAAAAATCTGACATTATCTGCCATATTCTACTCCCAGAGAAGAGATATCAAAAAGGATTTCACAGGGATGGTGATAGCACCTATTTCCCAGGGTGGCTAAGAAGATCCAATTGATGGGGTGCTTGGGTGCCTGTGCTTGGACCCCAATTTCTCCCAGGCCTCAGAAACACTATCCCTGGAAGTTTCCCTCCAGCCCAGGGACACTGTACCTAGCAAGTACTCATGAGTGTGTCCCAGCAAGACACTTATCTCTCCCTGGTGCAGTTACACAAAGCTGGGTGAGAGTGCTGGGCTGCTTCCAGCCCTAAGATCATGTCTCTGGAAGCCTCCTAATTCCTTAGTAAGCTCCTGTCCTGTAAGAAAACTTTTCCGTGTTGCCAATCAGGACAGAGAGAGGGGTGTCTTGTCTGGTCCAAGGAGTTTTTGTCCGTGGCTGGCCCAGGGACTCTTCCACCCGCCAGATGCCCAAGATCCTCTGACATCTCCCTCTCCATCTGGTATACTCCCTACACTTTCCCATCCATAGCTCCCAAAGACAACTGGACCTTTCAATTACCTAATCAGTATCCCTAGCATTCCTTTCCCATGCCATTTTCCATATAAACCCCAGCACCATTCCTAGTCTCTCACAGGTTCCTTAAGAATCCTTGCCGGAGGGAGCAGCTAGATGGCGCAGTAGAGTACCGGCCCTGAATTCAGGAAGACCTGAGTTCCAATTTGACCTCAGACACTTGACACTTGTTAGCTGTGTGACCCTGGGCAAGTCATTTCACCCCACTGCCTAACCAAAAAAAAAAAAAAGAATCCTTGCCCGCTACAAGGGTAATAATAAATCTTTGCCAACTTGACTCAAAGAATGCTTGAGTCTGAATTCATTCCAGACAGTCTTTGAGGGGTGTCAACCTCTCAGATGAAAACACAATGAGATAATAATGGCTAACATTTGTATGACCCTTACAATGTGCTTAGTGCTTTACAAGTATTATCTCATCTGATCTTCAAAACAATCCTGGAAGACAGGTACTGTCATTATCACCTCCATTTTACAGTTGAGCGAACTGAACCAAACAAGGTTAAGTGACTTGCCCAGGGTCACACAGGTAGGAAGAGTCTGAAGCAGGATTTGAACTCGGATCTTCCTGATTCCCATATGCAAAGCCCCTTGCAAGCCTTAAAATGCTTTGGAAATGCTAGCTATAGTTTGTTGTAGTAATTATAATTGTTCTTTTTTGCAGAGGTGGTAGGTAGCGAGCCTGTGATAAGCCAGGGAAGACGTTTTTATCACAGTTTTACAAATGAGCAAACTTCTGTTCAAAGAGTGAAAGTTGATGGGAAATTCAGTTCAAGAAATCATTAGGCCTGGTGCAATGGAAAGTAGAAATAAAATACAGAAGATCCATCCCAATGGACAACAAGAAATACACTCCCACAGGTCATTTTTTTTCTCCAGGAAGGCTATTGGAAATAATGTCCCCAGCATTGTTTTAATGGCTAACAGTTATATAATACATTAGGATTTACAATGCACTTTACATAAAAATAGCACATTTATATAGTACTTTTTAAGGATTACAAAAAGAGACTTTCCCTCCAACAGCCATAGGAGCCAGACAGTACAAATTATTATCCCCATTTTACAGATGAAGAAGCTAGGTCCAGAGAGGTAAAAGGACTTCCCCATAATCCCACCAAAAAAAAAAAAGTGTCACAGGAAATATTTATACCTGGGCCTCCCAGCTCCTGAGACAAAAGGAATGGTCCACCCCAAGATGAAGGGTTACTCTCCCTCCAAGGCAATAAATATTTATGAAGTCCTGTCCGGACAGCTACCCCTACATGAGGAGCTTTTCAATCCCCCTACGTCCAAGTGAGCATAGCCAGGAAAGGTAGTATTCTGCAAGGAGACCTGGGGACAGAGGACCTGGTTTCTCATGCTGGCTCAGTCACTGATGCTCTATGTGATCTTCAGCTAGTCACTTCTCCCACTCCTCACCCTGGGCCTCAGTTTCCTCACCTGTAAAGTGAGGAATTTAGACTTCCTAGAAATCTTAAGTACTTTCTATTTCCCATAATTCATACCATATGTTCAATGGTCATTACTATCTCTGACATTCTGTTTTCTTGTATTCTAAGGCCCCTTGCCACACCCCCAGATCTGATATTCTGGGTCCTAAGGACCCTCCCAGCTCTGACATTCTGTGTCCTGAGGATCCTTCCAGCTCTGACTTCCTGAGTTCTAAGAGCCCTCCCAGCTAGACATCTTAAGTTCTGAGGGCCCTCTTCCACGCATCCTGTATTCTAAGGGCCATCCCCACCTCTGACACTCTGTAATCTAAGGATCCTCCCAGCTCTGACATCCTGTGCTCTAAAGGGCCCTGACCTGTTCTCTGAAGTTCCTGCCAAAGGGCCCTTTCTCTAGACCTCCAGGAAAGTTTCCTTTCCTCCTCTCCACCCTCTTTCTAGTCCAAGTGGGAGATCAACTTGTCTCAAACTGAGCAGCAAACAAGGTAAGGACGGGACCTCCCAGGAGCCCCAGGAGCAGTCTTTGTTTTGCCCTCCTCGTTTTAAAGAGGAGGCAATAGAGACTTAGAAAAAGGAAGACTCAGGTTCAGGAAGCAAAAGATGTGTTATAGAAATGCAAATGTGAATGCAGATCGAAGCCTATTATTTGCTATTTTTTTCCTTCTGTTGTGCTTTGTTTCTTCTTTCTGGTGATTCCTCCTATTTGTTCTAATTCCTACTTACAACATCACTAATGTGAAAATATGTTTAATAGGAATGTATATGTATAGCCTATGTCAGATTGCGTCCTGTCTTGGGGAGGGAGGGGTGAAGGGAGGGGGAGAAAAATTTAAAACTCAAAAGCTTATGGAAGTGATTGTTGATAAATCAAAATAAATTAATTAAAAAAAAAAAGAAATGCAGGTGTGAGCAGCCTTAGAAACCCTCTAGTCCAAGCCCTTTGTTTTACAGAGAGGGAGCCTGAGGCAGAGAAGGGAAATGAGTTAATGCCAGAACCACCAATGCCCAGCTTGTAACCCCAAAATCAATTTTCTTAGTGACAATCCAATCATCCCTTTTAGGCTTCCTGTCCAAAAGCTGCCCCAGCTTGAGCCCCCTTAACCAGAAGGGTAACTGCTTCCTGTGGGGAAAGAAGAGTGTTCTACAGATAATCTCATCCCCTTCCCAACTTCCAGAGGTCCAATTTGTCTGGGGGGAGGGGCGGGCTGAAGGGAGCCAGAATTGGATTCCTGACCATTCTCTGAGAGTAGGAGTCTGGGATTGGATGAGAAGAGGGGAAGCGGGGAGGCACAGCAGGTAAGGTTAAAAAGTAGAGAGAGGCTCAGGTTATAAACCAGGCTCTTAGACAATAGTCTGAACTGAAACAACACACACACACACACACACACACACACACACACACACCCCCACCCCTCATTAGAAATCAGTGTTGGAGATGGGGATCCCCAGGCATCCTCACATCTTCACTTCCTGCGGCTATTCCTCAGGAGTAGGAAGAGAGGGACAAAGAGACGACAGCCAGAGGACAGAGAAGGGGATTAGTGCCAAAAGACTTGGAAATACTCAGATCTCATTAGACCACTAGAGCAAGGGATGCCCTTAGATATAAAATGGGACAGCTGGGAAGTCTAGAACATGGGAGGTCAGAGCTGGGGAGCCTTTTAGAACTAGGAGTAGGAGATACCCTTAGAATCCAAGATCTCAAACCTGGGAGGGCCCTTAGAGGAACAGCATGGTATGATGGAAAAGAGCCCTGGATCTGGAGTCCAAACACTGGAGTACAGCCACACCCCCCACATCCCCTTGGTCTGCCACGTGCCACTCAGAGGCTCTGGACAACTCTTTTGACCTCCCTGGTATTGTTTCTCCATCTGTCATATGAAGGAGTTGGACAAAATCAGCGTGAAGATCCCTCCCAGCTTTAAAATCCTGTGATTCTAAATTCCTTGACTTCTGTATGTCCCGTTTCCCTCATCTGTCAAACATGGTTCACACTATCTGCACTCGTAGGGTTGTTTGGCATGGAGCCTGAGTCACTGAGAACCAGGCTAGTTTAGAGGGATCAGTCCAGCAGCCCACATACACACTTTGGGGGGCTTCCTTGAGCTTGCCAAAGAGAAGGAGGGTACTGCAGAGAGGGCATACGCTTTCCTTGGGTATCTTACAGCCCAAGAGAGATAACTAAAAATATGACCAAATATAACTAAATGACATAACGTGACATAACATAACTAAAAACATGAGAGCTAGAAGGGCCCTGAGGAAGTCCCTCAGAGATCACTTTATAGGAGCCATTTGCTCTACAGATAAGGAAGCTGAGGCCAGGACTGAGGAAGGACTTACCCGTGGTCACATACTGAATCATACTGCCAGCCCAGGACCCATCCCTTTGCATCAGTAGGAGCAAAGGTCACAAGAGCAAGCAGAAAGACTGTCCTCTTTCCAATCCCAGTGTTTACTAGAATCTCCATCTCCAGCTTAGGAGCCAGGACCTCAGTGTTCCCATCTGAAAAGTGGAAAGAAATCCTTCCCTTCCCTCTAGCCCAAATCCATCCCACTCTTGGAGAATGAAGACAGTGCTTGGGACTGAAGTCGTCTGAGGAGACACCTGCTGACAGGTGGGGACATTGCCAAGTCTGGGAAGGGGGCCAAGGGATCTCCTTCCTCCCCCATTCCCACCCCAGTCCGGACTAAGGAGCTCAGTCTTTTTGACCCACCTGTTGGGACGGAGGAGCGATGGGGTAGACTTTCCTTCCCTCACTCCGTCCGTCTCCTAGCACCACCTGGGGAAGGAGGCCCCAAGAGTTCAGCCTGCGTGTGGCGGCACTGGGACGGTGCTCACCTGCTCTCCGGGGCCAGTCGGCGCCCCATCAAGGGGTCTCCGAGTTGGGTAGTTGAAGGCCCAGGGAGCATCTGGAGGGGCCCAGGCAGCATCTGGACTTTTAAACAGGATGGGGAGGGGTTAGGAGGAAGAGAAGGAGGAAAAAAAGGAGGAGAAAGGGCCGGCTTGGCTCAGCTCTGGCTCCGCTCCAGCTCCGCCCCCGGGCGCCTCGGGGGCCCTAGGGGCGGAGCCGCCCCAAGGAAAGGAGAAAAAGAGAGAGCTCGCGGGTGGGAGAGAGGAGAGTAAGGAGAGAGAAGAGAGGAGGGGGAAGACGGAAGAGAGGGCACAAGGAAGTGGGAGGGGGGAGAAAGAGAGAGAGAGAGAGAGAGAGAGAGAGAGAGAGAGAAGGAGGAGGAGGAGGAAAAGGAGAAGGAGGAGAAAACAGCGAGAGAAGAGAGGGGAAAAGAAGAAAAGGAAGAAAAAACAGGAAGAGAGAAAAGGAAAAAGGAGAGAAGTGAGAGAAAAGATAGGGAGAGAGGACAGAAGGAGAGATGGAGAAAGAGAGGGAAAGAGTAGAAAGGGGACAGGAGAGAACAGAGGGAGAGAGGATAGAGGAAGAAAGAACAAGAGAGGAGTTAGAGAAGAGAGGGGAAAGAGTGAGAGAAGACAGGGAGAAAAGAGGAGAAAGGAGAGAGGGGAGAGAGAAAAAAGGAAGAGGGGAGAGGAAGAGAAGAGAGAGGATATAAGAAGAGAGAGAAAAAAGGCAAGGAAAGAGGAGAGGTGAGAGACGACTGAGAGAGAGAGGAAAGAGAAATTGGCATCAGCAGCAGCTGACTGTGTACTCAGATATAGACAAACACAAAACACTTACCAGATGTACAGCAGACACAAAAACACACCAGATGTACTGAGACACACACACACTCCCCAGACACGTGCACAACTCATACATTGGACACAGAGACACAAACACGGAGTTACACACAGAGACATGTGAAATATACCTACTAACACAGAGAGACATACAGCCATTCCTTACACACACCTCCTTGAGGTGAGCTATGCAACATGAAGAACACTCCCACTAGTGCCCCCACTGGGAGAGAAAGGACAAGGAATAAAGAAATCCCAGGTCTACAGAATATATGAACTGCCGGGGGAGAAGGGAGCTTCAGGATGATGCCTGGACCTTCTCCTCAGGTTGTGGGGATTCACAAAGACGACAGTTAAATAATATGGCAACAAAGGATAGAATCAAAGGCTACAGATCAGGTCACTCACACTGAGGGCCTTGGTTTTTATGTTTGACATCCTGTGTTCTAAGGGCCATCCCACCTCTGACACTCTGTGTTCTAAGGGCCTTACCAGTTCTGATAGTCTGGGTTCTGAGGGCCCTCCCAGCTCTGAAATTCTTTGAGCCCATGTGCAGCTCAGAAAGGTAGGATTCTGGTCAGTCTAACCTGAGCCAGCCAGGACAGGCTTCCTGGAGGAGGTGACCCAGGAGCCACAGGGTCCTCATCTCACTACTTCTTAATTATCCTTACCGATACCCTCCCCATCCCCAACCTTCACATACCCCTGATGCAGGCCCTGGCTCCTCAAATATATGAGAACACCGATACCTCTACTTGCCCAGTTCCACATGTGTATGCTTCTGCACTCTAGGCTCAGAGCTAAGGCAAGGCAGGCCCTTGAGGCTCAGTTCAAGGTCATCAGTTCAGGCAGAACCCCAGGAATAGGGCAATGCTCTGGCCTCCTGGCACAGGGTGATTCTACCTTCTTTGGGTCAGGTCCAAGAGCCTGGCCCTCATCTTTCCCAGCCAGGCACATATCAAGGGCTCAAGTTACATGCTAGTTCAGTGAAGCTTAGGCTGGGCTAAGCTCCAGGCCAAGCCTCCTGGTTCTAGCTCATTTAAGAAGAAGGAAGAAGGCTACAAAGGAGACTGACCACCAAGTGCATCCTGGAGACCCTGCAACCTCCTCCTTCCTCTCTCTCCACATGAGCCATGGCTCCTAGGCTCCTTCTGGGCCAGATTGGGCAAACAGTGCCCTCTGTAGTCCAGTAATCATACTCATCCCCCATATCTACAATGAACCTTAGAAACCTTAGAAATCAGCCAGTCAAACCCATCATCATAGGGGACAGAAAGTGAAATGGAATGAGAGAAATGTGCAAGGGGGAGTGGCTGCTCTTCCTTAAAGGTCTGTAGGCTGGATAACCTTTGTAAGGCATGTTATGGTAGGAATAAGACTGGACTAGATGGCCCAAGGCCCCTTCCCAGTCTCAGGTTCTGTGATTCTGCAAAGGGAAAGAATTTGCTCAACATCACAGGATGAGTGAGGGATACAGCTGACATTCAAAGCCAGGGCTTCTGAATTCTAGTCCAGCGCTCACTTTCCCCTGGTAGGGGGCTGCCTCTATACCCCAAAATGCCACTCCCTATTCATCCCAGGATGCCTTGGCATTTCTGCCCACATAGGGAGAAAGGGGATCTGGAATTTAATCTATGAAGGAAGGAAAGAAGCATTTCTTTTTTTTTTTTTTTGCTTGTTTGTTTGTTTTGGCTAGGCAATGGGGTTAAGTGACTTGCCCAGGGTCACACAGTTAGTAAGTGGAAACAAACATTTCTTAAGCAACTACTATGTGCCAAGCACTGTGCTAAGCACTGGACAAATGTTATTTACCTTATTTGATCCACACAGCAACCTTGGGAGGTAGGTGCTATTATCATCCCGATTTTATAGTTGAGGAACTGAAGCAAATAAAGGTTAAATGACTTGTTCAGAGCCACACAGCTAGTTAGTGACTGAGGCTGGATTTGAACTTGTTATCACCCTCACTCCCCTAAGTCAGCTAGGTGGGAGCTAGGTGACACCTGGAGTCAGGAAGACCCAGCTTCCTGAGCTCAAATCTGGCCTCAGACACTTACTAGCTGTGTGACGCTGAGCAAATCACTTAACCCTGCTTGCCTAAGTTTCCTCATCCGTAAAATAAGCTGAAGAAGGAATTGGCAAATCACTCCAGTATCTTTGTTAAAAAAAACCCCAAAAGGGGTCATAGAGAGTCACACATGACTGAAATGACTAAAAAACAACAACTTCCTTACTCCAAGATCTAACCACTGCATCACCTAAGCAAGCAAGCTTCTCTGAAGTGCCTACTATTTGCGGGCACAAAGGAACAAACATGTAGAATTTTAGAGCTTAGTAATCCCTCTGGGGGAAAGATGAAAGGAGGAGACCTCCCCTTCCACTCTGTCATCATCTTTCCTCCTCTCATCCCCAAGTTCACCAGCAGCCCCTTCCCAGGAACTCCAGGTCAGTTCAGAGTGAATGAAGCCAACATCCCTGGATGAAGCTGAAGCTGAGCATTTCCTCCCAGAGGCCTCTCCTTTGCCCCCCTTGCCTTCAGCTTTTTGTGATGCTGATTTGTGTTCACATTGATCACACCCTAGCAGAGCAGACTAGAAGCTACCTGAGGGTAAGAGGGTATCCTCAGAATCTGACACAATGCCTGATGCATAGTAAGCACTCTAAAATTTATTGTAGTGACTCATTAATGGAATCTGGGATTAAAAGTAAAGAGACCTGGCTTCTTGTCTTAGTTTAAGACCAGGGGGTCTTAATCTGGGGACATGGACTTGTCTTTTTTAAAATTTATTTTATTTTTAATTGGTGGAACAAAACAAGCATTTCTATAACATAGCATTACAAAAAAGACGATTGCACACAAAATTGCAAATCTACTATGTACAATTTACTATTCCTTTTAAATATACAACAAAGTTATCACGTAAATTTCTTTTTTTTCTTCCTTCCCCATTCCCACCTTGTATACTTCTTTTTATTATTTTAAGGACTATATTTTAATAGAATTGGTTTCCTTTGTAATTCTGTGTATTTGACTTTATGCATTTAAAAACACAATTCTAGGGGGCAGCTAGGTGGCGCAGTGGAGTTAGGAAGACCTGAGTTCAAATGTGACCTCAGACACTTGACACTAGCTGTGTAACCCTGGGCAAGTCACTTAACCCCATTGCCTAGCTTAAAAAAAAAAAAAGGAAAAATGAAAAAGAAAAGAAAAGAAAAACACGATTCTAAGAAGAGGTCTACAGACTTCACTAGACTGCTTGCCAAAAGGCTTCTGGACCCCAGAAAAGGTGAAAAAGCTCCGCTCTAGACTGACTGTGGCCTTGGAGTCATAGGCCCTGGGTTTGAATCTCAGCTCTGCCCTCTTTGGACCTCAGTTTCCTCCTCTATAAAATCCTCACTTGAACTCAGTGGCGTCCAAGATCCTTGCTAGCCTCAAGTCTATGAGCCTGGAAATCATTCCCCTTCTTTCTGTTTTATTGTTTGTACAATGAAAGATCATAAGATGTTAGATCCGATTAGGGAGAGACTGCTGGAGGTCATCTATTAATTTTATAGATGAGAGATCTGAGGGCCAGTGATTTGTCCTAAGAGAGTGACCCTCCCCATTCTAACACATGTACTAAGGCCCCTCCTGGCTCCATTTGGGGTTCTCAGGGTGGGCACTGTGTGTCTAGTGTCCTCAGGATCTTCCCAGCTGGGATGATCTATGCCCCAGCACCCCTCTCGGCACTGATATTCTGTGTCTTATATTTTTAAGTCCTTTTCAACACCCACAGTTCCGAGCTCTACGAGGTCAGTCTCAGGCCCAGAGGAGGTAGGCAAAGGAACAACATGGTCCAGAGATTTGGGAACAAGCTAGGAGCCTTCACCCTGTGATCTGCCCCCTCCACCCTCAGGGCTCCTAGGCTTATGGCCTGGGGCCCACCCACCCATTGACTCCTTATGCCGGGGCTGTGGACCTTGACCAGCAAGGCTGCAGCTGGGGGCTAGGGTTGGAGGGGGCAGAGGGGGAGTTGTGTTCATACAGAATTAGGGGACTAAGGGAGGCTAGAACTGATACAATTCCTCAGCCTACCTCCAACCCCCCTGACCTCCCCAGATCAGTGGCTAGACTTCCCAGTCTGAGACCTTGACCTTCCAAAGGCCATTGGCTCTTGGGCCTATTCTTTCCTGACCCCTGACCTCTCCACCCCAGGCCGAACTTGGACTAGTAGAAGAAAGTGGACAGAATGGGCCTGCTCAGGAA